TATATTTGCCTACACATATATAAACTAATAGAATAAATAATAGAATAAAAAACAATATTTTCTGGTTTCTGACAAGAATACGGCCCTGGCGTTCCAGTTTCCTGCTTGTTGAAAAAAATATGGATTGCTGCATTAAAAGGTCTGTGTGGTTCAAATAAAAAAGTTACAGTGAACTTGTCCAGAACCCTGTTGGAAATGTGAAACGGGACAAACCTAATGGAACAATAAGAAAAGCTAAAACATATTCATTAAAACAAAAGACTTGATGTTTTCAGATTTACTAAATGTATTAAATCCAGGAGTTTATTTGTGGAATTGATRTATTTCCAAATGTTTGTAGAAATAGTTAGCATGGAGGTCATTTTGAATGGATAGTTTCTAAAAGTTGCAGATCTTTACCCAATGATTACTTTCTGAGTTYAAGTGAAATCTCTCCCGAATGGTTTGTGAAATATTTTGCTAACAATCTAGGCTGTTTTTCTTAAATCAGTTTATTTAAACACATATAACCTTTACCTGCATTTAGTAGTGCAATTAAAATTTTAACTACATCACAGACTTTATAATAAAAAAACTTTGACAAGTTCAGTCTACTTCCGGGTGCTTTTGTAAACAAACTGCTTACTCATYGTTATCTCGCTAATACGCGATCTTCATTTTAAACCACCGCGAGAGTTTATGAGGTATCGCGAGATTTTAAGGCTAAACACTGGTGTCCATCACTGTTGCTGTTTTCTGTAAATATCTTCTAAAATGTTGGTTTTACTCGACTGCCTGTGAATAAATGTTCGGACAAAAACGTCTTTTATCTTTGTTGGGGAGGACGAACAGGAACATGGAGTCTGGTGAAGGTAAAATACGTTTTATTTTTCATTGAGCTAAAGATGCTAACGCTTAGCTGTAAATAATAAGGCTGTGTGTGTTTATGGTGGGGACGGCAGGTCTCAGCGCTCACACGCCCACTGAAGACATGAACGGAACCGGGACCTTGATGGACCTCCTGGACGAACCGTTCCCTGATGTGGGCACGTACGAGGACTTCCACACCATCGACTGGCTGAGAGAGAAGTCCAGAGACACGGACCGGCACAGGAAGGTCCGCATGGGGGGTGTTTAAATTCAAGACTGTTCCTTATTAAGTGCATAAGAACTGACATGGTTCCTTATTTTAAGGAGCAAGAATAAAGCTGTTTCTAGTATCCTGGGGGGGCGGGGTTAATGTCTGGAGCTGCAGGTGTCTGATCACATGTCTGTCTATCCTCCAGATCACCAGTAAGAGTAAAGAGTCCATCTGGGAGCTGATCAAGTCCCTGCTGGACGCCTGGTCTGGATGGGTGGTGATGTTGTTCATTGGCCTCCTCTCTGGTCAGTCCCACACACAAACAGATCAGGGGCCTCATTTATAAAGGATTGCATAGACGTGAACCTGTGGCCAAAAGGCAAAAAGGGCTTATAATTAATTAATTAATTAATTAATAATCAGCTTTATAAAATCGTTCACATGCACACCTTCAAACTATTCTCTTTTATAGATCACAGCTGCACCTCAGAGTTTGCGCACAAGGTCCCACCTCAGGTTCTGCTCTCTACAACCATAAAACGGTCAATGCAAATAACCTCATGGGTGTTAAGGTGTATTTAAATGAGTCAGCTGATGAGATTTTAAAAAAGCGATTGGCTCAGACACGCGCTCTGTCGCACATCTGGAGGTGGACAGGTGCTGACGACTGCTCACATCAACAGACTGTAATTTACACAGATTTTCACTCATTTTGCAGGAACACAGACGTGTAGAGTAATCTCGCTGATTTTTTTTCTTCAAAAACTCAGCTWCAAATTTATTTTCTCTCAGTCTGTAGGATGTTAAAAACCTAACCGTTTTACTGCTGGAAATAAGTTCACCAATTTTCTTCCCCATCCTTTCCTCCTGCTTTGAGCTCTGTTTGCGCTGCGCTCTGCACTGTTATCTGCAGCTGACCACCCACCCCCACCTCCCTCCTGAGTGAATAATACAGATTTTAAAAACTGAACCTTATACCTTATGTCTGTGGTGCTCCGTGTTTAAATTTCTCTTGTCGGGGAGAGGTGAGTGGGTCAGGGCTGTCTGAGGAGGAGGGAGATGGATGGAGATGCGTGAACTTTTATTTAAGAGTTAAGTTGGCAGGGGTGTCCAAACTTTTTTTAGTGAGGGCCAAATACAGAAAAATAAACAAAGGGCCGGGCCACACACTAGAAGTGACACATTGATACATCAATAATGTGTGTATTTCTAACTCACCTATGTGAAGAACATTGCACTCAGTGGGAGCAGTGATGCTGTGATGCTTCACAAAAATGGACCGAATGAAGAAAGACCGTCCATCATTAAACAGAGGTGGAGGCCTCCGTTTTCAGTTGTCTCCCTCCTACAGCGTGGCTATTGCCAGTATCACTCCACCCCCTGTTAACAATAGGTGTTAATTAGGTGTCAACGATAGCCATGTGATGTGAGTATCAGTCACATGGAGGCAGGACTTAAAAGCCTGAATTTTGCCTGAAACTCTCAGACTGAAGAAGTCTCTTGGAAGAGAGACGAAACGTTTCATTAGAGAAGAACCCGTCCAGAAGACCTATACAATTTTTTTCTTTTTGATTTTTTACCTGGATTACTGAGATGCATCAGGACATCACCTCCATACGGTTTCCACAGCTACAGCTAGTGCTAATGTCTGTATCAAGAAGGCCGCCATGTGACGACGTGGGAGACTCCGCCTCAGCTTATCTAGCCTTTATAAATACAGTATAAATCTGTGGTTGCAGTCACAAAAAGGTTCTTCTCCTCTTCTCTATAATTTCATTTCTGTGGCTGGCTCCATCTAGTGTTGAAACTGAGAAGTGCAATGGTGTTGAGCTAAAAATTATTGTGTGAGCCATATTCAATTATATTTTCAGAATTTACTGCGGGCCAATAAAAACGGGGCCGTAGTTTGGACACCCCTGGTTTAGAGGGTCTGTTTTATTTCAAAGGTCCTTGTGGCTCACCAACTGGAGCATAAATAATTCTGTTAAAGCTGATGATAAAGTTGATTTAAAAATGAGTCTGATTATGAAGTGAAATTAAGTATCTGACAGTGATCATTACACAGTGTGGGTGTAATTCCTCACTTCATCATTTGTCGCAGCTTCACGTCTCCAGTCAGGGTTCTGCTCAGAAACATGACCTTTGACCTGAGGACCCAGTTGTTTGCCAGGGGAGAAGCTGGTCTTTCTTGCKATAAGAGTAATAATAATAAAGTTGTAGGTCTTTGGTGGGTCGTCTGGACCTGCTCAGTTCTAGACARAATCAGTCAAAGTGGTCTCAGATGGACTGACCCGGGTCCACCTGCTCCCCTCAGGTACTCTGGCCGGAGTGATCGACTTGGCGGTGGACTGGATGACGGACCTGAAGGAAGGAGTGTGCCTGTCGGCCTTCTGGTACAGCCACGAGCAGTGCTGCTGGACGTCCAACGAGACCACGTTTGACGACCGGGACAAGTGTCCTCAGTGGCAGAAATGGGCGGAGCTTATGACGGGCCACACAGAGGTAAGGATCATCTTTGAGTGAGTAAGGAAGATTTTTTGTAATGTGTGAGGGTTCATTATGTTCCAGCTAAAACCAGAGAAAATTAAAAGCTAAAAGGAACGGCTAAAAGTGGCAAAAGACAAAAGCAGCAATAAACTAGCTAAAATCACAAGTTTGCAAAAAAAAAAAAAGTAGCTAAAGACTTAAAAAACACTCAAAGTAACAGAATGGTAGCTAAAAGAAGCAGCTCATCAGCTAAAAAAGCTGAACATTAGCTAAAACCTAAACAGGTCATATTAACTAGCTAAACACTAATAGCAATAAGAGACTTTGAAAACAATAAAAGTGGCAGAATGGTAGCTAAAATAAGTAAAGGAAGCTGAACATTAACTTAAACCTAAAAGGATGCTGAAAGCTAAAACAGGCTAACCTCAAGCTAAAAGAAGTAGCTACAGTAGCTAAACAATAACAAAAGAAAAACTGTCCAMAAGATGCAAAATGYTAGCTAAAATAGCTKAAAAACCTGAAAGCTAAAAGTAGCAGGAGGCTAGTTAAAAGCTGAAATGGCAAMAGGCTTGTAAAATCTCAGGAAAGCTGAAAACCAGCTGAATGGTAGGCCTAGGCTATAAGTCTAAATGTAATGAAGCTGGACAGCAATAAGCGTTTAGGGAGAACCGTACTTTTGACAGAACTGAATAGATCTYTCTGAATGAACTGTAGGCTAAATGAAGTTCATTTTTTTGAAAAAGGATGAAAGTTAGAAAAACTAAGTCCTCTCCTGAATGAACTTTGCAGAAGTTGTTAGACTGAAAAACAAGAAACATTAGTGTTCCTGCTGAATCAGCATCCACACAGTTAYCATTAAGGACATTTGTGATGGACCGAGCCGGACTGGACTGTCCCCTCCCTCTGCAGAGGTGGTTTCAGCTCTTTAATGTTGTTGTGGTTCCAGGGGGCGGGAGCATATGTGTTGAACTACTTCCTGTACGTCCTGTGGGCCCTGCTCTTCTCCTTCCTGGCCGTGTCTCTGGTGCGAGTCTTCGCCCCGTACGCCTGCGGGTCGGGGATACCAGAGGTAYGGGACTAAAAGGCAGAATTCAGATGAAAGTTGTCCCCCTGCAGCCGTCTCAGGTGTAAAACTTTGTCACCATCAGATCAAGACCATCCTGAGCGGCTTCATCATCCGGGGCTACCTGGGGAAATGGACCCTGCTAATAAAGACCGTGACCCTGGTTCTGGCCGTGTCGTCGGGCCTCAGTCTGGGGAAGGAGGGTCCTCTGGTCCACGTGGCCTGTTGCTGTGGAAACCTCTTCTGCAGCCTCTTCTCCAAGTACAGCAAGAACGAGGGCAAGAGGCGGGAGGTGCGCTGCGCCAGACGGGTCCTGCAGTACCCGGTTCTGGAGCTAAACGGTAAACTCTGTGTTCCTCCTGCAGGTGCTGTCGGCGGCGGCGGCAGCCGGCGTCTCTGTGGCGTTTGGAGCGCCCATCGGGGGAGTCCTGTTCAGCCTGGAGGAGGTGGGTTTTGTTACGACTGATGCTTCTGAAGGACATTTTGTAACTGATTAATTGAACGATTGATGTAGTTTTGTATTTTATACTTTCTGATCATTGCAGCTTTAATTTTAAACAGAATGAGAGTTGGTGTGTGTCTTATCATGTGTTCTTTTAGTCTAAACAAAAATGAGTTATGTTCTACAGCTGATGTAAAAGGTAACACCTCCAGGGGTGTAACCAGGAAGAGATGTACACTATAAGGTCAATTCATTATTATAGTAAAAAGAAGTTAGTTATTGGCAGAGTCTCTGGTCAGAGCAGGGCTCTTGTGTTTTGTTGAGTTTTTTTAGTTTTATGCTGAGGCCTGCTGAGTGCTGTATGAACCTGATTGGAGTCAGAAGATTGAGAATAAAGTTTTAAAGGGATCCCTGATTAGTTGTAACGTTAGACTTTATTTGATAAATATATATTTGAAC